ACTCACAAGGCACTGTTTCTTATATTGATAATACCTTTTTCCTCTAGCTTGTACCAAACTCTCTTTTAAATAACCTCTCCGTGCTTTACAAACACAACCACTGAAGTCCGCCTTTGAAATCTTAAAAGAACTGTTGGTTCTACATGAAACAGAAATGAGCCAGACGTCTCAGGGTCATGGAAGGTATACCCAGGTAATAGCAATACTGGCTAAAGTCCCAGCACTGCCCATGGCAAACCCAAACTGTAATGGGCACTGTGGTCCCTATCCACACAAGCCACCTCCTTCCATTACATGGCCATGTGGTTTGGAGAACACTGACCCTACCCCCTGGCTCCAATCCCATCACACTTGCCCAATCCTAAAACAACACTATAGGTTCAGACACTGTCTGATCAATGTAAAACCCAAGAATTTACCCCATCAGCTATAGAAGGTCTCTCTCCTCCTGTATGCTTACGGGCTAGGGGCTAACCTAATGGCTCCTGGAAGCCCTCTTGTGACATAAGGAAACCCACCCTGAGGATGAGGCTGACCCATTAGTGACTGCAATACCAGTTTGTGGAATTTTGGTATTTCATTACATTCAAGTACTGAAATACGTGGATTTTCATTCGTGTAGTTCCATCGCTATTTGAACATTTAAAAAAATTCAGGTCTATGACTCAATTGTTCCACTGAAAAGACAAACTGATGAGCTGTCTTCAAGTCTAGACTTGCTTGCAGATCAGAATAGGCAGCCTTATAATTATGTATTACAAAGCTCTACCCACAAAGATAACTCTTACTCTGGTCCAACTATCAGAATGTGAAAGACAGTACTAGAGCATTTAGTTGCACAGGCCAATGAGTGCCCTTGAGTGCTGGCTAAGGCAGGTCTTCTGTTACCTGCAGCAGAGCATACCCCAGCTGATAACACACACTAAGTACCAAGTCCCCCAAATGCAACCTACCAGGTTTGCATGGTCTTCACATCCTGGGGAGACACGTATTTGGGTCTACGGCAAACCTTTCTAATTGTGCCATAGACCAGGTTTTTCTGAATGAAGGCTGAAAAAAACATAACCAATGAAAAAAACATACATATGTACGCACACACATACGATGGCAATGTTTTATAAACACAAATTAAAAGGATTTGAAAGTTAATCCAAATGTGTAAAGCCCAGAATCAGTTTGTTAAAAGTAAGGCAGTTTTACATTTCAAATATTCATAAAGAAAATAGGTATCCTTAGGAGACTGGGTTTAATGAATAGAGGAATGATTAGTAATTGACATATCAATTATACATGAGTGCTTTTAAATTGTTCCTTCCAATCTTGTTTAAACTATTATTTTGCTTAG